GTGATTAACGCAGGAATGGTGGTGTGCTGAATTCCCAGTAGAGTTTTATAGGTCAGGAGCCTGTAATTCCCAGGAGCCTGAATTCCCAGTAGAGTTTTATAGGTCAGGAGCCTGTAAATCTGCATAGAAACTACTGCAGCACAAACTGCATGATCAGGTATTTTTTTCAAAATGTAAATTATTTCTCCATTCGCTTTGGAAATAACTAATTTGTGAGCGTGGGCCTGGAAGGAAATTCAAGTTCCTGCCCTCTAGGTGTCAGCAATAATAGATTCGAGAAATGCAAATGCCTTGGCTAAATCCATACACCCTCGCTACAGAAGTTAGCAGTGAGGAAATCATATGATGACTGCTGTACTGTGTATCAGCAGCAATAATCCGCTTTCACCCACTAGTTTATTGTTAAGGAAAGCAAACGATCATATTCCACTTTAATGCCAAATAAAACAGTGCCTTCCGGGAGGAAAGGGGTATTAATCTTCCTCCCTGATGCATGCTCCAGCCATGCATACTACCTCCCTGATGCATGCTTTTTCAGGTCAGCATAGTGGGAAGGGGCTAAATTATAGGTGTGGTTCTTTCATACTGATGCCTATGTAACTGTTTACCTTCTGTCTGGCTAAACCTGAATGTTCCTGTCCATCTCTGCACATGGAGGACTGGGGTGTTAAGGTAGCCTGAAATCTGTGAGCACACTTACTATCCTTAAACTACGCTTTGGCCTCTATTTACAAAACCACAGAAAGAAGTTTATACTGTGCTTTACAGACACTTTAAAAAAGAACAAAGAGATAACTGGTAATCAGACAATTCACCCAAGTTTTTTCACTGGACCTTGTGTAAGTTGTGTACAGACTAAAGTGACTGAATATCAGTGGATTTTAGAAAAGATGGTTCAGTGACCAAGAGTGAGCTGTGTTCATTGTAACTTGTAAACAGTGTCTATGTACAGTGTGCACCACTGGGGTTTTTTTAAGCATGGAAGTATTCTTGTATTTATGTTTAGTGCATATACGGCTGAACGTGTTAATTAAAAGCCACATTTATCCAGATACTTGTCCTTGGTTTCCTTTATAAAGCGAACATATGTTGGATCTTCCTTACAAACAGTTGTGTGTATATGCAGCACTGTGACATGTGAACAGGGAAAACAAGCAATCCTGAACATTCTACTGGTCAAACCACAAATTCACCAGACTGTTCCGAACCAGATATTTTATATGGCTCAACACCTGCAAACCCATACTCTTCAAACAACATGAAGAATACTTTTACCTGAACAATAATCTGCCAGCATGAAGCAAGAAATCTGTTTTTATTTTTTTAAATACTTTTATTTGTATATAGCCCTCTTACTTACCTTAGGATGTTTGGTGTTCTGCAGTACTTCAGATGTACTGAAAATAAAATTCCTTCCACCACCATAATTGCATCCTAGCAAATTAATCATTTGCCACAAATCTGGCAAAACTGCTAATACAGTCCACCATTTACTCACATATAGGTATCATTTCAAAGGCTTTTACATGTGACTGATTTTGACTCTTTAAATTCTGTTTCTCAGCTTTACATAATACTGTTGCAAATGCTGGAGACTGATGGCATGGTACAAATTCCTGCCAATACTTGGCAGTGGAAGATTCTAATGAGCTGCATTTCTGTGCTGCCTCCATAGTCCTCTTTATTATTGCTTAATTCCAACACGTGGGTAATGTGCATTTCACTCGATGCAAAGTGCCTGTGCTAAATCAGGATGCTACCATACAAAATATGAATGTTCTCCTTCCTGACAGTGCTTTTATCTTGGTCTCACAAAAAGGTTCTTGAATGCATTGTTGTAATTTTTGTTAAAAGCTGTATAGATAAGAGGATTGAAGAAAGAATTAGAGTAGCCAAGCCAGAGAAAGATGCTTTTCCAGACAGGTGCAATAGTGCAGGAACAGAGGGGGCTTATTAGTTCTGTAACAAAGAAGGGAATCCAACAAAGTACAAACACGCCAATTAAAATGCCAACCATCATAGCTGCTTTCTTCTCTTTCTGTTCCCTCCACGTTTCTCCATCTGTCTGGAAAGTGACAGTCGCGTGACGAGCTGTAAACACCATCTGGGGCTGATGAGAAGCTTCTTTCACCTCAACACAAAAGCAAACAGGAAGTTTTACTGTTTAGTTTAAGGATATATTTTTTTATAAAGACAATGGAAATGCTGTGGTTGAACTCAAATTTCTGACTTTGAACCTAAAAAGACTTGCCTGGGGACAGATGGGAAGTTATATAAATAAAGATGGGGAAACTGCCATGGCCAATCTTGTGTGCAGCAAACACTTGACACAAGTAATACTAATATAGGTAAAGGTTCCCTTGCTCGAAAGCCAGTCGAATCCGACTCTAGGGTTGCGGTGCTCATCTCCGTTTCAAAGCCGAAGAGCCAGCGCTGTCCAAAGACGTTTCCGTGGTCATGTGGCCGGCATGACTAAACACTAAGGCGCACGGAACGCTGTTACCTTCCCACCGAAGTGGTCCCGATTTATCTACTTGCAATGTCTTGCTTTCGAACTGCTAGGTTGGCAGGAGCTGGAACCAGAGATGGGAGCTCACTCCATCATGCGGCACCCGGGTCTCGAACTGCTGAACTACTGACCTTCCACAGCCTGCAGTTCAGCGTCTTAACCACTTGAGCCACCGCCACCTATTCATTTAGACAGTGATCCAAAAGCCATTTTCCTGGCATCTCCAGTTAAGATCAGGCAGGAGGTGATGTGAAAGACCTCTGCTGGAGAGCCACTGCCAGAGTAGACAATATGGACTTTGATGGACCAAGGGTCTGATTCATTATCAGATAGCTACATGTGTGCCTCTTCACGCTAGAGCTTTTCAAGTACACTCCTCTTTATGGTGTCCTCTTTTCTGTTGAAGAACCTTCCAGAACAACAGTTGTTATAGAGCCAAGATCAGCAACAAGGCAAAATTTGCAGAATATTCTCTCCCCCCCCCCCTGTCTGTAACACATTTAAGTACATGGAAAGGACTCTCTGGATCCCAACAATGTGATTTTCATTATAGATAGTGATTGAACTGGGCAAAAAGTGACAGCGATAAAAACCAGTTTCATATCCTGACTCAGAAATCCTATTCCCCTGGCCAAAACTTGATTTCCCCAACAGAGAGAATCCATGCAACTTCCCTAGATTACGACAAGATAGTCTAAGCGATACAACACACTATAATGTTTATAGGATTTTTAAAAAATTCTTTACGTCAGTGGAATCAAAGGTAAGTAGCTACTTTCGTTACTTTATTAATCTACAAGAGGATATGAAAATTTCAAGCTTGGGGGGGGGAGTAATTATACTTTGCCCCCAATTTTTGTCATTCCAGAGGTGTCGCTATGTTGTTCTATTGCAGGAAAAAATAGTTGTGGAACCTTAAAGATGAACATTTTTGTTCCAGCATAAACTTCTGTGGACTTGACAAACGTCTGATAAAGTAGGCTCTGCTCCTCAGAAGCTAGTGTTGCACTAAAATGTTTGTCTAAGATGCCACAAGATTCCTGTTTATGACACATTTGTGTAGTTCAGATCAGGGGTCGTTTCGTAGAAAAAGAGCTAGGGGAACTCATTAGCATAACTCATTAGCATATGCCACACACCCTGACATCACCGGAAGTGTGTCATAAGGCCACACCCCCTGACATCACCGGAAGTGTGTCATAAGGCCACACACCCCGCCCCAACGGTCCCGGCCGCCGCCAGCCTTGCAGCTCCACTGCCGAGCCCCATGAGGGGCCCGGCGGTGGACCTGCAAGGCCAGCGGAAGTGCAAGGAAGCCCCGCGAAGGCCCTCTCTGGCCCCAGGCAGGCAGGGGTGGGGAGAGGCAGGGAGGAAGCAACTTACCCTCCCTCTTCTCCTGCCTCCTCCTGGCTGAATGAGGGCCGGAAGCGGGGCGGCCGGAAGCAGGGGGCGGGGCTTCGTCATGTCCCCTCCCCGTACCTCACCCGGGGGAACTGTGATCCTCCGCGATCCCCCCCGAAATGACCTCTGGTTCAGATGCATCCTTACCACATAGCCCAACCCTAGAATCTACGGTTCTATTACTTTTTTTTCTCTCCTTGCAGGATTGGTCAATGTTCTGTGGCCTCACACTATTTTTGCTTTCTCATCTCCCCATGTGGCACTAGCCACATCATAAAGAATGTAACTATTCAGCCCAAAACGATATCCTCTCTCAGTGTTATAAATATCTCAGTGTTATAAGTATCTAACTATTTTTGCTTTCTCATCTCCCCATGTGGTACCAGCCACATCATAAAGAACGTAACTATTTAGCCCAAAAAGATATCCTCTCTCAGTGTTATAAATATCTAACATTCTGGCTGGTATAACCGTCTGCCTGAAGGAGGAGGGTGTAGTTCCAACTGATCTGACCGAGGTGGTTGTGAGACCCCTCCTGAAGAAGGTATCACTGGACTCATGACCTAAACAATACTGCCCAGTGGCTATTATTCCAATCTTGGCTCAAGTGGATGGTGGTTACAAGGCTACAGGCAATCTTGGAGATGGACTGTCTAGACCCATTTCAATCTGGTATCCTGGAGAAAAGCATGATCTGAGCATGAAGATCCAAGCTCTGAGTATGTGCTCTATGTGAGGTTGCCTTTTGGTATAGTGGTTAGGAGCGCGGACAGCCAGTTTGGTGTAGTGGTTAGGAGCATGCACTCTAATCTAGGAGAACCGGGGTTGAGTCCTCACTCCTCTGCCTCCTCCACATGCAGCTGCTGGTGTGACCTTGGGTCAGTCATGGCTCTCAAAGCAGTTCTCAAGAGAGCTCTCTCAGCCCCACCTACCTCACAGGGTGTCTGTTGTGGGGAGGGGAAGAGAAAGGAGATTGTAAGCCACTCTGAGACTCCTTCAGGGAGTGAAGGGTGAGGTATAAATCCAATTTCTTCTTCTTCTTTAAAAATTGTTCAGAAACTTCAAGTGGTTCAAAAAGTGGTGGCCAGGCTACTGACTACAGGGATCATATCACCCCTGTGCTGACATCTGTACTGGCTACTCATCTGTTTCTGGGCACAATTCAGAGTTCTGGGTCTTGGACGGCATAGGGCCAGGGTACCTGAAGAAGTGTCTCCCCCATACTATCCAGCCTACCTGTTAACACCTGTTTTTCAAGGCCTTTCTGTGCCCCTGCCTTCAGAGGTGAGGTGGGTGGTGACTAGAGATAGGGCATTTTCTGTGGTGGCACCTTGCCTTGAGGTTCACCTTTACTTTCTTTAGGTGCCAGGCCAAAACCCATGAGTGAGGGTTTTATCTACCAGTCTTAATGGCCTTGTGACAAACTGACCTCAAAAAACAGGATGCTTCGTGCATCGAACTCAGAGCTGGGAGATTAGGGTTAATGCCTCACTGAAAAGCAGTTTGAGTGACAGACTGCTGCAGCCCCTATCTCTCTGATTGGTCGTGCCAGCTGCGGAGAGTTTTATAAAATCTTGTGAGCAGGGGTTTTTTTGTAAAAAAAGCCCAGCAGGAACTCATTAGCAGAATAGGCCACACCCAACAGCAGGAACTCATTAGCATATTAGGCCACACCCCTGACAGCGCAGCTCATTAGCATATTAGGCCACACCCCCATGTTACCAGAAGTGTGGTCATCCAGCCACACCCACCTTTTGCTCCTTATTCTGTTTACCTTGTTTGTTGTCAAAACCCAGGGCTTTTTTTGTAGCAGGAACTCCTTTGCATGTTAGGCCACACACCCCTAATGTAGCCAATCCTAATGAGTTTCTGCTGTTGGGTGTGGCCTATTATGCTAATGAGTTCCTGCTGGGTGTGGCCAACTCAGGAGCCAGCCGGAACTCCGTTCCTGTGCGTTCCTGCCCAAAAATAGCCCTGCTTGTGAGTCTTGTCAGAGAGTTAGTCAGTCAGTCATTGTTTGGATTTTGACTTGGCAGTTGCCAGTCAGAGGGAGTGGGTGTGTGTCAGTCTGAGGGAAACAGACAAGTCACTTGGGAAGTGAAAGGACACAACTCCTAACCATTACTGTACACCTATGCACTTGAGAAAAGTTCAGAAAGAGCTTAATGTCTAACAGCACTAGCTGAATTCTATGTTTATTCACTGTCTCCAGAACTGGGGTTTAGGTTTGACAGAAGACGTTGGGTAGTTAGTGGCAAACTGCCAGTCTAGCCAAGCAGAAAAGGGTGATCACTCCTAGGAACAGGAGGATATTTCTTACCCAGTTATTCAGAGGGTTCAACGCAGAAAGGACCTCTGGTTTGAGATGTGAAAAGGGAAACGGTCTTACACGCCTCAAGAGTACAGAAAGGGAAAATTATAATTCCAAAAGGGAAACCGTGATATACAGAAAGAAAGTTCTAACTTCCAGAAAACTGAGATATTGTTATGAAATGTAGTTGCTGTAAGAAATCTCCAAGACAAACAAATCTCTCACAGTCAATAACTTAAGTCTCTTAGAATTCAAGCTTTAAGTATATTCTATTGCCTGTTCAAGATATTCTAATTTTCTTATAAAGAACTACAGTTTAAAGAACTCATCATCCCCTGTCCGATTCCTGTTACAGCTGTGCTTGTTCAATAAAATAAAACTTTTTGTATCAACTTTACTTTGTGTCAAGTGCCATTTCCAAAGGGGTTTTATAAGACGGCTCCTGCTGAGTCACAATAAAAATTTCTGGCCTGAGGAAAAAGCCAAATAACTTCTTTAACATTGGGTGGAATACAAAGAAAGTTAGAAGTTTATAATTCAGACATGTTACTAAGAGGCTGCTCAGTCAGAGTGGTGAACAGTGTTTTGACGGGAATGTCTGCCTCACAGAACAGAAGGAGCAGGGGTCTGTCATGGGCCTGTTTCTGTTTTGTGAATAGTTTTTATGCTGCTTATGTCCAGTGGCTTGTTTTTAATATTGTAATGTGGTTTTAATTGTAAGCCATGAGAAGGAGGACTCTGAACGAAACACTGGACTTGCCTGAAGGTTTTTTCTTTTCAGTGGGGTGAAGTCATGCAGAATGGTGTCAATGTTCCCCCTAAGCTGAGTTAGTGTGAGCTAGTTCACAGTTTTTTAGCCTCCGGCTCACACATTTTTGTCTTAGCTCAGAAAGGATGGCTCCAAAGCAAACTGATTTATGCAGTAGCCAAATCACTCCCTCACAACTTTAATGCCAGTAGCTCACAAGGTTGAATTTTTGCTCACAAGACTCCACAGCTTAGAGGGAACATTAGTCATGCCTCCTCTTGCTCCAGGCAGGGCTATTAAAATTTTTGTATGATTCTCCTGGGGCAAAGCGAGGCTGCCATTCCAGTCATCAAATAGTCCAGCTCCAAAGATATATCATCCTTACTAATTCCCTTTATGTGAGTTTGGGGGGGGGGGGAATGGATGACTTTGCCCCATTGAAGAGAAGAAATCTTCTGGTAAGTCCAATCTGTCATTCTCTTTCAGTGGGGGAAGGCATGTGGGAGATCTACATAATCCTTTCAGTCCGCCACTTGTTGAAGGACTCTTCTCCCAAAGGCGGCCTCAAGAGAGTTCAGCTGGTCAATTCTGTAATGTCTTAAAATGTAGAGAAGGATGACCAGGTAGCTGCCCTACAGATTTCATCTACTGGTGTTCTGGTAGAGAAGGCAGCTGACATTGCTGCTGCCCTGGTGGAATGGGCATGTTCTGAGGCACCCTGAGACCCAGGATTTCATATGCTGTACGAATGCAGAGTTTAACACAAAGCACGATAGCTGATTGATAACAGTTTTTTTACCCAGGTTAGCCATGCTGTGGGACACAAAGAACACATCATTACCCTGAAGGATGTAGAAGAAGATGATACTGGATTTATACCCTGCTAGGGATGTGCATTCGGTTCGTCTGAATGCACCCCCGAAAATGGCCCATTCGGGCCCCTTTCGGGCGGCTGCAGGCCGATTCAGATTCTCTGATCTGAACTGGCTTGCTGCCGAATTTCGGTGGCAATTCGGCCCCATTATATCCTATGGGCCATTGAAGTCAATGGTGAAAACATAGGGTTTATTCTGGGGGTTGGAGGAAAGGTGGTTTGAGGGAGAGGCTCCAAACTTGCAGAGTAGCTGCTGGAGCCTCTTCCCAAGATACCCACCAAGTTTCAAGAACAGTGGAACAGGGGGTCCAATTCTATGGGCCCCCAAACAGGTTGCCCCCATCCCCTCCATTGTTCTCTATGTTGGGGGGGGGGGAGTTACTACCCAAAGGAGTCTCAGAGTGGCTGACAATCCTTTTCCCTTCCCCTCTCCACAACAGACACCCTGTGAGGTAGGTAGGGCTGAGACAGCTCTCTCGAGAACTGCCCTTGAGAGAGAGGTCACACCAGCAGCTGCATGCAGAGGAGTCAGGAATCAAACCCGGTTCTCCCAGATTAGAGTCTGTACTCTTAACCACTACACCACACTGGCTGTAGTTCCATTTATATATACATGCAGAGCCCTACGTATATCTAGATTGTGCCAAGTTCTCTCTTTGGGGTGTGATCGTCTGGGACAGAAGGAGGGCAGAACCAGCTGTCGGTTTAAATGGTAGGCTAAGTTAATCAGAACCATGGAATCTTTATGAAATGTGCAAAACTCCCTCCTCACGGATCATTCCCTCAGTTCTGAAATCTGTTGGGCAGAGGTTACTACAAAGGCAACTTTCCACGAAGGAAACTTTAATTCTATAGATTTTAATGGCTCAAAAAGCATTTTCGCCAGAGCCTGCAATACCTTAGACAGACCCCAGGTTGGAAATCTGTGTCTTACTGTTGCATAGTTTCTTTCAAAAACCTTCTGACATATTTATTGGTAGTAATGTTACCCAGTCCCCTGTGCACCAGATCTGCTGCAATGACAGCTACCTGCCTTTTTAGGGTGTTTGGTCTCAATCCCTGTTTCCACCCTTCATGCATAAACATAACCACATTCCTATGGGATAGTCTGAGTGGATCCTATCAGGGGCCCATTTTTTTAAGTACTTAAGGGTACACTTTTATTATTTTTTTCATTATATACTACAGACATACATTGCCCAGACGCTTCAGACGCATCTGGTAGGTGCCGATCTGGTTGGTTGGGGCTGGGGTGGTCGTCGTCGGCGGAGTCCCGAGCGGCGGCAGCAGCCATCCCTGTGGAGGCTCGCCCTCGGGACACTAGGAAATGGGATTGAGAACAGATTCTGGGATCAGAGGTCATTTCGGGGGGATCGCGGGGGATCGCAGTTCCCCCAGGTGAGGTGCAGGGGGGCGGGGCACATGATGAAGCCCCGCCCCCTGCTTCCGGCCGCCCCGCTTCCAGCCCTCATTCAGCCAGGAGGAGGCAGGAGAAGAGGGAGGGTAAGTTGCTTCCTCCCCGCCTTTCCCCACCCTTGCCTGCCTGGGGCCAGGGAGGGCCTTGGCGGGGCTTCCTCGCACTCCCGCTGGCCTTGCAGGTCCACCCCCGGGCCCCTGATGTCAGGGGGTGTGGCATATGCTAATGAGTTATGCTAATGAGTTCCCCTAGCTCTTTTTCATCAAAAGGACCCCTGTCTGCCTGAACCCAGACTAATAAAGGTGTCAGCGTATAGAGCTTTATTAACAAATGGCACAAAGTCAACAACAACTACTGTACAAAATAAACCATTATGTGACTGTTCTAGCCTGAAAAAAGACTGGCAAGCTCTGTGTCTACCTTCACACCATTTCAATGATTAGATTATTAAGAAATAAACTAAGAACTATTTACTCTCCCACTCAGTTGAGACTTTGATGGGCATTTAATGTTGCTTAGACTATTTTTGGGATCTCTGTGTAAGTTGCATGTTCTCATTTGTATTTATGCAAGTTTCATAATAGCTAATGAACCTCTTCAGTATGATAATTAGGCAACAGCCCCAGAGAGTCTAATTGTGAACAAAAAGGCAAGTAACAGTCATCAGAATGGATCATGCTGTCATAATGAGACAGAAATCATGACTTTTGAATGTACAAACAAAGGAGAAAGTATACAGAAGCAAATAAAACACTGCAAGCCTAGATCTTAAGTTTGCAAACAAAATGGAATTTATCCATCATTCACCTGTGTGGCTACTTAATGGATATATTAAAACATGAAAAACTGCCTTTCTTCATGAAGAAAGAACTATGAGCAAAATATTTTTGTGCATAACCATACAGTATAATAGTCTGAAGTCCCCAAAGCTGCAGAACCTGTAAGTACCTTATAGAATTTGGGAATAAACTGTGGAAACCACAACAGAATTACTGCAATGGGTGGTACAGCCACAAAACAGCTTCCACGGGGTCACAAAATGTTGGACAATTCTAAACCAAGCATCCTCCTATAATGGAAGCAGATGTTTCCAAATGGATTCCCCCTGGGCCTCACAGAAACTCCTGCTACACCAATGAAAGAGAAAGACCTGGCTCTTTGTTTTGCCTTAATGATGCTCGAATTGTGAATTGTGGCTGTCACTCAGAGTCACAACACAAACTGAAATAGTTTAGGTGCAATTATGGCTTAATAGTGGGGACTAAGGATGGGCACGAACTGAATTACAAAATAAAATTTGTCATGAACTGGGCCCGGTTTGTGGTTAGTGAACCTCGGTTCATGCCATCCCACCCCACCGAACCTCTCAGGTGGCTTTGGGAGGTTCATGTGGCTCTTGTCTGCAGATACACTGGCACCTGCAATGGGGCTTGAAGAAGGCATTCAAAGAGTCTGCGGTCTCTTTAAATGTCTCCTCCAAGCCGCAGCGTGACTTGGCGAGTGAACTCAGAAGGCATTTATATGCCCCCTGAGTTCACTTGCGAGTTAAGCCTTGGCAGCCACGCAACTTGCAAAAACCATTTAAAGGGATCCCTTTAAATGGTTTTTCAAGTCATGCCATCGCCGCTGGGGTGCAACTCGCAAGTGAATTCAGAAGGCATTTAAATGCCTTTTGAGTTCACTTGCTAAGTCACACTGTGGCGGTAGTACAGCTTGCAAAAGCCATTTAAAGGGAACCCTTTAAATGGCTTTTGTAAGCTGTGCGGAATCACGAACCACAAACTGGTTCCTTAAACAGAAAGGTTCATGGAGGTTTGTGTTCATAAGACCCCACAAATCTCAATTTTCCCAGTTCTTCCCTGTCCCTAGTGGCCTGGCAAGTCCCCACAATAGCTGCCCACAAATGGGTAACTTTGTAGACCTGATTCACCCACCTACTATTGCTTCTTTCTGAGATTATTTAATTTATGTTGTGAGTATTGAAGGGATTGTAAGGCAAAGGAGAAGAGAAGACAAAAGCAAAAAGAAACCATGGAAAGACTGCTCATTGCAAGCAGCACCTGTCTACAAAAACATGCCATGGCTGTAGATTGTAAAATAAGAAACATCAGAGACAGGACTTGGGGGTCATCGCTGCCAAGCTGGGATTTTGCTTTCCCTCCCAATATCAGAAATGAAAGCCTTGGTGTTGCCAGGGAGTTAGAAAACACCTACTTACCTGAGTTTTCTGAAAATAAGCAAAGTATAGTCAATGTTTTTACGATTTTGGAAAATGATAAAATTAAATATTTAACAAACTTGCATTGTGCCCTCTGAAGCTGTATGGGGGCATTATTTAATTTAAAAGCCATATGTTCCTATAGTTATAGTGACCAACAACATGCACTAGACTAGAGATTTACTAGATTAGATTATGCTAATTTCCATTAGAACAGGGAAAATCTAAATAATGGAAAACGTTGATTTAAATCAGCGATTGAAGCCAGCCTTTTCCCCTTGATTATTCTAATTGCATTGATGAATCGACCCTGCCAATAAAGTAGATTAAATTACATCACAGTAATTGTGAATTTGAATGGATGCTAGTTTATCTGAAAATTATTTAACTTATCAGCAACATAAGGGGTATGTATTAGCAATGTTTCTAAACCATTTTTTGTTAAACTCTAGAACAGCAGCTGCCTGGCACAGCAATGGTATCCTAAAGAGTAATAATTGTGCTGTTAGATAAGTTTTCCTGAGTCAAAGCCCACCTTTGTCAGATGCCATTAAACTGCTACCTATTTTGCACAAAGGGTAAAAAATTAACTCGGGACTGCACAACAGCACCAGCTTGCACAGAGCTCAATATATCCAGTTCCAGGGCACAACCATTAATTTTATGGGCAATGAAATTATTCCATCCCTGTTTTAATAGGAGCATTCCCTTTTGTGCAGTTCACCTTTTAGCAAACTGCTGTTATTTTCATTTTATTTTTTTCTCTTTACAAAGCAGTTACATTTTATGAAGAGCTTTAAAATCAAACGCACTTTTCTTTCCATCACCTGTCTGAAAGACCTGATACATTCTCAGACATTCTGATGCATGTTTCCGTTTCCGTTACAAATAACGACCACATTTCTGTAAACCGCTGTAAACAAGCAATGGCAGTTATTTTGTAAAAGTTTCATCAGTTAAAATCGGGGAGAAATTTTAATTACAGAAATATGGGATATTAATTTGATAACAAAACTTCAGTCACTTTTTAACAAGTGCATCTGTATCTTAGTTCCAGATGCACTGTTAATTGGGGGGGGGGTTTTTTGCATTTAGCATGACTAAGAGATTTGTATCCATACACTGTCACACCGTATTCTTACTTATAATAAAACAACCATTTAAAACCCGAATATTATGTTAATGATGCAAGGAGAAATGGAAATGCTAAAACCATTTTTTTAAAGCTGTATTGTGTAGTTGTTACCAGCAGGGCTCATTTTGTAGAAAAAGCCCAGCAGGAACTCATTAGCATAATAGGCCACACCCAACAGCAGAAACTCATTAACATATTAGACCACACCCCTGCCAACACAGCTCATTAGCACATTAGGCCGCACCCCCATGTTACCAGAAGTGTGGTCATCCAGCCACACCCACCTTTTGCTTCTTATTCTGTTCACCTTGTTTGTTGTCAAAACCCAGAGCTTTTTTTGTAGCAGGAACTCCTTTGCATGTTAGGCCACACACCCCTAATGTAGCCAATCCTAATGAGTTTCTGCTGTTGGGTGTGGCCTATTATGCTAATGAGTTCCTGCTGGGTGTGGCCAACTTGGGAGCCAGCCGGAACTCTGTTCCTGTGCGTTCCTGCCCAAAAATAGCCCTGGTTACCAGAAGACTGAGCATGCATATCCATTTGGTTCAAAATCCATACAATACCATTTACTGAACCAACCAAATTAGCAGATAACCCTGAACAAGCTTTCCAGTTACAGTGTTTAAAAAGACAGGAGGAAGGGCTCTCAGGCCATGATCTTGAGGTCTGATCTTACAGGCACCTTTGGGAGATGTCAGCAGGTAATTCACTTTTACAAGTTCTTGGAGAAAGTGAACAAGCATGTAGACAGTGGTGACCCAGTAGGCGTTATATACTTGGACTTTCAAAAGGCTTTTGACAAGGTACCTCATCAAAGACTCCTGAGTAAATTTAGCAGTCATGGGATAAGAGAACAGGTTTAAATTAAATAGGAAACGAGGAATAGGAATCAACGGACAGTTCTCACAATGGATGGAAGTAAGCAGTGGGGTCCCACAAGGATCGGCATTGGGGCCAGTACTATTTAATTTATTCATAAATGATCTGGAACTAGGGGTGAGTAGTGAGTAGTGTAGTGGCCAAGTTTGCAAATGACAAAAATATTATTCAGGATGGTCGAAAACCGAGGCTGACTGTGAAGAGCTTCCAAGACGACCTCTACAAACTGTGAGAGGGCGGCAATGTGGCAAATGAAGTTATATTTATTTATTTATTTATTATTTCAATTTCTATACCGCTCATAACCCCTAGCGGGTCTCAGAGCGGTTTACAATTGTCTACTTGCGTAGCATATACCTAACTAGGGTCACAATTTTTCAGGGGGGTTCATTGTTGGTAAGTGTAAAGTGATGCACACTGGGGCAGCCCCCCTCCCCCCACCTTCAAGTACAGGCTGATGGGGTCTGAACTTGCTGTGACTGAGAGGGAAAAGATCTTGGGGTCATGGTGATAGTGGAAGTGTCAACCCAGTGTGCTGCAGTGGAGGGGGGGAAAAAAGGCAAACTCTATGTTAGGGATTATTAAGAAAGGGATTGAGAATAATACAACCAATACTGTAATGACCCTGTGTAGATCTATGGTGTGGCCTCATTTCAATACTGTGGCTGCGGTCACACGGAGCATTAGCCACGCTACAGAGACGGAAGATAGGCGGATTTTCTGGGCGCGATCAAACCGCAACATCTGGGAAGCGTAGAGCTCCCGTGGTGAACCCGAGGCTTCCCGCCGAAGATGCGCCATAAAAACCTAGTACCTCCGAGGTACTAGTTTCCCGAAACCGTGGGGCAAGGGCGGGCGTCTGATCATGTTTCCAGTGGTAGCTCGTGGCATCTGGTGCCCGCCCATGTCCCATCGTGAAAATGATTTTTTTCCCCCAAGTCTCCACGGGATGCGCATAAGCACCCAGTGGCACATGCACACACTTCGGTTAAAAAAAACCCACAACCCCCGCCCCGCCGCTTCTTTGCCGCGCCGCAGGATTGACGTATGATCAGCACCTCCCCCCGAACCATGGGACATCGGCTGGACGTTTGATCTGGCGGCCGTGTGGTAGTTCGCTCCGGGGCAAACAGCCACTCCCTCCCCCCCCCCCCCCCCACTCCCCCCCCCCTGGACTTGGTTCTAAGCTGGTCTCAAGACCTGGTGAGAGATATAGAGGTTATTATACCAGTTGGGAACAGTGACCGCAATGCTGTTTAGTTCAGCATTTAGGTCAATGGAAAGTTACCCCTAAAGTCCAAAACTGCAACATTTTGATTCCAAAAGAGGGAACTTTACAAAATGATTCAGAGGCCGGAGCCCCTTCCCTATAAGGAAAGGCTGAAGAGTTTGGGACTTTTCAGTTTAGAAAAGAGAAGACTAAGGGGGGACGTGATAAAGGTTTAAAAATCATGCGGGCGGTGAAGAGAGCTGAAAAAGAGAAATTTTTCTCCCCAAATACTAGAACTCGAGGGAATCCAAGTAAGCTGATGGGCAGCAGGTTCAGGATGGAGAAAGGAAGTATTACAAAACACAGAGAGTGAATAAAATGTGGAATTCACTGTCACTGTCACTGTAATAAACAGCTTTAAAAGGGGATTAGATAGATTCACGGAGGATAAATCTGTCAGTGGCTACTAGCCATGGTGGCTGAGGGGAACCTCCACATTCAGAGGCAGTAACCTCTGAATCCTAAAGCCAGATAGCAACATCAGGCTGTAATGTATTGGAAATCGCTTACATGAATCGCCTCATTCACTCCCCATGCAAAGCTTGAGCCGGATGAAGGCTCCACTGAACTGCATTGCCATTGGTCGCCCTCGAACAGCGACCAATCAGAAACTGTACAGTCTACAGAGAGGGAAAGACTCTCATTGGTTTTTAACTACACAATCTTATTGGTTGTTATCTGTAAATAGGCGTGGCTATGTTAGCCCGGGAATGTTTAAAAGGAGCCTAGCTCCCAATGTTCTGTTTATGAATGCGTTTGAGTGCTTGTTCGTTACTTCATTAAAGCTGAATCACTTTGCTGAAATCACTCTCGAGTCTTTGTTAGCAGCGATCTAACACAGGCGAAGGTCTCCGCTTCTATGCCTTGTTGTTGGCTGTCCAGAGGAACTAGTTGGCCACTGTGAGAGACAGGATGCTGGACTAGATGGACCACTGGTCTGATCCAGCAAGGCTCTGCATTCAGTCTCTGATTCTTTGTTCCCTCAAATGATATCCAATTAGTTGCAATGCATTGTGATTATACAACTTCTGCTTCAGAATGTCGCTCTCTTTGAGGGCAGCTAAAGTCTTTCCTGTACGGGAGACAGATCTGAACTCTACCTTTTGCAAGCCTGTTTTCATTATCTGTATAACTCCCCTCCTGCAAGATGCAAAGTAATTCCTGCATTATACAGGCGCCAGAGACAATGGCCCAATGCAGTGGGGGAGGGGGGGAGAGTTCCAATAATGTCCGTTCTCTCCTTGACTGCAGGATGCAGCTGAAGGCAACCTGCCGGTATCCATCCGAAAACAGACAGAGTCGGGAATGCACAGAGAAGTACGTTCTGCTTTGCATAATGCAGGCGATATCAGCTTGTCAAAAAACAGCAGGAGTGGCACAAAGATGCTCTGAGAATTGAACTTTCAGGGATTTAAGGAGCAGAACAGGAAGCTGAGAACACTGTGTGATGATGTGGTAGGAAACCAGTGAATCTGTGAAATAGGAGGATTCAAACCTGTGATCGGCCCCACACACACACACTCAACAAGTCATGCATCTCTGTACAAAGCAGCCCTGTTGGAATACATGTATCCAGGGCTATTTTTGGGCAGGAACGCACAGGAACGGAGTTCCGGCTGGCTCCCAAGTTGGCCACGCCCAGCGGGAACTCATTAGCATAATAGGCCACACCCAACAGCAGGAACTCATTAGGATTGGCTACATTAGGGGTGTGTGGCCTAACATGCAAAGGAGTTCCTGCTACAAAAAAAGCCCTGGGTTTTGACAACAGACAAGGTGAACAGAATAAGAAGCAAAAGGTGGGTGTGGCTGGATGACCACACTTCTGGTAACATGGGGGTGCGGCCTAATGTGCTAATGAGCTGTGCTGGCAGGGGTGTGGCCTAATATGCTAATGAGTTCCTGCTGTTGGGCGTGACCTATTATGCTAATGAGTTCCTGCTGGGCTTTTTCTACAAAAAGAGCACTGATTTATTGAGATGACAGGAAACAGAAATCAATTTCTCATGGCTTCCTAAACACATCTACTCAGTAACTTAACCAGGTCCATGAATGGAGCTCACTTCCAAAAAACTGTCCTTGGGAGGATGACACTCTTCATCACAGTGACTGTGGCCAGAAAAGGGTGGCACAGAGAAGTCTATCAGAAGCTATTAGCCATGGTAGCGTAATAGTCCCTCCAAGAGGCAACATCGTGTTGAACACCAGTGCTGAAGACATACAAAGGGATTCAATCTCTGCTTGTAGTCTTGCTGGAGCGGCATCTAATGACCACAGCTGAAAACAAGACACTGGATTAAATGGCCTCAGTCCTGATCCAGCAATGCTGTTGTGTTGAAGGTGACTTATTAAATCACTCCTGCACCCCGTTATCTCATTATCCTTCAATTCCATATTCCTTATGAGATTATATAAGTATCTGCTGGTGAATCAATCAAGCTATGGATCTGACAATGCAACCGAAGGGCTCTTCTCTTTACAACAAGGCAAGGGGTCACTTTTCCAGACCAGCTCACACAAATTCCTGCATTTGACACAATAAGTCAGACCAAGGTCAAAACATGCGACAAACAGGATGCAGGAGGGGGAAAGGTATAAAAAGGCTACACGAGTATGATACCTACCTTAAAAAAACCCAACAACTCTTGGCCAGAAAATTGGTGGAAAGATCCCCAAAGCAGCTTACCATAAGATTAGCAAAAGAAAACGAAATGCAATGCTTGACTTGTCTCCCAAATACACAAGGCAAAAAAGTAGAAGTTGGAATATAATTATGCCATTGAACCTCGGTTTAGGCAGCTTCCAAAAATAAAAGCTCAAAAAACGCAATATATATGTGCACGTTTACATTACATATAGAACAAACATCCAGCTTTTTTTCTGGGAGGGGGCTTTGCATTTAGAAGAAGAAGAAAAGATTGGATTCATACCCCGCCCTTGTAAGTCTCAGAGCGGCTTACAAACTCCTTTCCCTTCCCCTCCCCACAACAGACACCCTGTGAGGTGGGTGGGGCTGAGAGAACTCTGACACAAACTGCTCTTTTTCAAGGACAGCTGTGCCAGAGCTTGTGACTGACCCAAGGTCACATCAGCAGGTGCAAGTGGAGGAGTGGGGAATCAAACCCGGTTCTCCCAAATTAGAGTCCGCGCACTTAACCACTACACCAAACTGCCCAGCGTCTGCAGTTCTCTTCTCCCCTGTTTAAGCCTTCTCCCCTTCACCTGTCTACACCCTGCAGCTATCCAACTACCCTAAATATTGGCTGACTATGAACATTCTGTCTTTATACAAGATACAGATATTCAGACCTGCTTTCTTTCCAGCTTATTTCTAATAGTAGCTGGAAGTTACCAAATCCTAGGATCTCTGAGTCAGCCCCAGAATATGTGGCTCAATAAACCTCATCACTGAGTTATTTCATTCAGCCAACACACCTCTGGGATTAGAGGTCAGGATTCCCCAATGCAAAAGTTGCAACTTCCAAACCGTTCTGCACCTCCTATTTTTCAAAATTAAGACGTCATTTTGCCTCTTCAATTCCCCAAGTCTCTGGCTTCCTGACAGCTCTCTGTGGCTTTCCATTCTCCATGTTCAGAACTGAGTTTCTGAAAAGAGATGCCTGCATACAACACTGCGTGGAAGCTTCACACGTAAACCAGGAGCTGGTTGGGTACCCTGACAACAGAGTAAAATGCCCTCTGCACATGCTAAAAGGCACTCTGTTCCAGGACACTGAAAACATTACTGGTCTAGGCTTTGATTCAACTGAAGCCCTGGATAAACTGCTTTCAGTGTGAAGACATAAAGCTGCCCACTACGAGTCGCACTCTTAGTCTATCAAGGTCAGCATTACCTACTCTGACTGGCAGCAGCTGTCCAGAGTCTCATGCAGAGATTTTTTCAGGTGCTGTACATTATTAAACTGCATGTCTAAGACCCAGTTGTTGGGCTAAGCCCGACTCCAATCAAACTTTGTCCAACTGTTCCTAACAGTGGAAGGCTCCATCATTTGGTCCTCCTGGCAACCACAGTTTCTGGCTCTTGCACCTTCTGCACATGCTCTAAAACTCTTCTCAATCCCTGGTCCCGAGAGCTGCAACTGAGTCTGGAAAGGCTTGTTTAGACCCCTCCCCCTTAACACCCAGCTCCTGCCAACCTAGCAGTTCGAAAGCAAGAAATTGCAAGTAGATAAATAGGTACCACTTTGGTGGGAAGGGAAGTGCGTTCCGTGCGCCTTGGTGTTTAGTCATGCCGGCCACGTGACCACGGAAACGTCTTCGGAAAGCGCTGGCTCTTCGGCTTGGAAACGGAGATGAGCACCGCAACCCTAGAGTCGGATTCGACTGGCTTGACCATGGAAACGTCTTCGGACAGCGCTGGCTCTCCGGCTTGGAAACGGAGATGAGCACCGCAACCCTAGAGTCGGACTCGACTGGCTTTCGAGCAAGGGAACCTTTACCTTCACCCTGAACACCCACCCACCCCGATGCATCACTCTCCCCCTGTTTACCTGGCCAAGTGCCGGGAGGGGCAGGACGGCATCGGCCCCCGATGCGAAACTTGGCCGCCTTGTAGATCTTCCAGTAGACGAAGAGCACCACGCCGAGGGGCAAGTAGAAGGCGCCGCAGGTGGAGAAGACGGTGTAGGAGGGCTCCTGGCTGACCTGGCAGCGCTCCTGCTCGGCGCTGTAGTAGGTCTCGCCCCAGCCGAGCAGCGGCGCCAGGGAGATGAGGGCCGACAGCGCCCAGGCCAGGCCGATCATGACGCTGGAGGCGCGGCGGCGGGCGCGCAGCGTGTACTCCAGGTGCCGCGTGATGGACCAGTAGCGGTCGAGGGCGATGGCGGCGACGCTCCAGATGCTGGCCGTGCAGCAGAGCACATCGCAGGCCACCCACACGTGGCACAGCGCGCGGCCCAGGCGCCAGCGCCGCCCGGAGGAGAGCTCCCTGGCCAGGCTCAGCGGCATCACCAGCCCCGCCACCAGCACGTCGGCGACGGCCGTGGAGGCCACCAGGTTGTGGGGCGCCCGGTGGAACGTCTTCACCCGCAGGATGGTCGCCAGCACCAGCAGGTTCCACACGAAGGTGGCCGCCGTCAGCAGCGCCAGCAGGCTCAGCGCCAGCAGGCTCCAGAAGGAGGAAGGCTGGCCGGGGCCGCCCGACGAGGAGGTGCGGTTGCCCGCCGCCGTGGCCGGGGAGGAGCCGTTGAGAGGCATGGCGCGACGGGGCGCTCCCGCAGCCCGGCCACGCTTGAAGCTCTGGGCGCGCCGCCGTCGATGACTCGCAGCCAATGACTCGCAGAGGGAGCCTCCTCTCCACGCCCTCCCGCGGGGCGGGTCCAGCGCGACTGGCGCCTCGCAAGCGGTCGGCAAAACTTGGACCGGCTCGCAAGCGGGTTGCGGAGGCGCTTCCTTGCCTCCCAAAGTCGTCGTGAGCTCGCTTTGGGGCGTCCCGAATCCGTCTCCACTTAGTGTGTTCTATACCGCCTTCCCAGGCACGGCGCCCTAGGCGATTCGCAACGTTTGGGAAAGCAACAGCATTAAATGGATTTTTTTTTAAAGCAGTAACAAAATGGATTGGTACTTGCCGAGTGGCTGCGCGGGGTCCCGTTCGCTTCTTCGCACAGCGTTGCGGTTTACGCCACTCTCGCCTCCGGAGAAAAGACGGGGCGTTGCGGGCTTCAGCCAGGAGTGGTCCTTGGCGTGTACCAGCTGGTCGTTCTTGGTGTGGCGGGGCTCCGGTGTGCTTAACAGCAGAGACATGTGCAGGCACAGAGATGCACGGGTAGGAAAACTGCGTCGGATGGATTTCTCCCTATGCACTCTTTCAAACCTCAGAAGAAAAAATAAAGGCGAGAATTGGAGATGAAAACCAAGTGGATTTTTTTGGTCTGTCCTAAATCTGCTGCCAGTTGGTGTCATTGTGTGACCCCTAAATGCTAGTATTCGGGATTAATAATAATAACACCTGGATATTCTGGGCACTGAGCAAATAACACCAGCTCAGCTTCAGAACGCAGTGTTGCCTCCGATACCTCTGCGATTCCCGAGAGCTTGGGTGAATCTCGAATTGCAGAACACCACCTACCAGTGAACCATCTGACTGTGACAATTCACACAATGCTACTCTAAACTGCCCACTTCTTCCACACTGCACATACTTTGGTAAACTTTTATAAACACCTGCTGTTGATCTCAGTTAAATTTTTGTCTGGGCTGTACAAACCCTTTTGAAACAAAACAAAATCGCAACCCATATGTGATGCAGCAGTGCAGCCCTGAACAGATTCACACTCTTCTAAAATCAGAACTTCTAAAACAGAAGTAAGTTTGAAGGGTGGATCTCTGTTTAGGATTGTGCTGCAGGATTTGAAAAACGTGGGATCAGATCCCGATTCTGCCAGTAACTTTGGTGACCTTGGGCCAATTTCTCTCTTTCACCCTAACCTACTTTACAGGGTTGTTGTGAAGACAAAATGGAACAGGAAAAACCATGTATGCCACCTTAAATTCCTTGATGAACTACAGTGTATACACTGGGACTCCCAACATGGTGCCAACGTGAAGATGTGAAGGACGAAAATTATGTATTTCTAGGTTGAATAGTCTTTGTCTAATAGATCGAAAAATCAAGGTTTCGTCCATTTGGAGAAAGTAATCAGTCGAAAAACCTATTTGACCATCATCATAGCCTTAATCATTTAAACATAGAAATATAGAAACACAGCGCTAGAAGAGACCTCAAGGGTCATCTAGCCCAGCCCCCTACACAATGCAGGAAATTCACAACTACCTCCCCCCCCACACCCACAATGGCTCTATGCTCAGATAATCTTAGCACTGTACACACAGTAAAACAGCATGGACGATGCTGCCTGTTGCTGGAGTAGAGTTGTATCTATCTACCTACCATCACCAGTACTACCTGCCACTTTACCAGCATGTGCAAACAAAACATTTGCCTTTTTCTGTCTACTACATATGAATTACACAGATACCAAAAAAACCAAAAATACCAGAGTTTCCAGGTCCGGGTTGGGAAACACCTGGAGATTTTGGGGGTGGAGCCTGAGGGGCGGGGTCTAGGGAGGGGAGGGACCTCAATGGGGCAGATTGCCATAGAGTTCATCTTCCCAAGCAGCCATTTTCTTGAGGTGAACTGATTTCGGTCACTTGCTCTGGAGCCATCCTTTCTGAGCGAAGACAAAAATGTGTGAGCTGGGGGCTAAAAAAACTGAGAGCCAGCTCACACTAACTCAGCTCAGAGGGAACACTGCCTGTGAGGTGAGTGGAGCTGAGAGAGCTCTTTTGATAACTGCCCTTGAGAGAACAGCTCTGACAGAACTATGGCTTGCCCAAGATCATCCAACAGCTGCATGTGGTTCTCCCAGATTAGAGTCCACACTCCCAACCACCAGACCAAACTGGCTCTCAAACGTGTGTGCAAAGCAGAATTCTAAGGAGATGCACTGCTGCTGGTGAGGAGAAGCAAGGCTGTTATTCATTTTTAATTTCTCAACTCTGCAGCACTACCTACCTACCTACCATTGTATGAAAGTAGACTATTTGCCTCTCTGCCTAGCAGATGTACCCTGAAGGCCTAACTCCACATTATACCATCTTTGTATCATGCCCCATTCTGTCAAAAGGACTTTATATCATGTGCACTAAGAGTCTCCCACATGGGGAGGCAATTCAGAACAGGCCTGCAGTGTGTAGGGAGGGGTCCGCCCTTCACGTCAAGAGATCACAGGTCCACTCTGCTCCGGCAGTGGAAAACTGTAACAAAATTTTTGTTCCATCAAATTACCTTTATACACAGGGGTCATTTCCTGCAGGAGCGCACAGGAGCGGAGCAGTGTTCCCTCTAAGCTGAGTTACTGTGAGCTAGCTCACAGTTTTTTAGCCTCTGGCTCACACATTTTTGTCTTAGCTCAGGAAGGAGGGCTCCAGAGCAAACTAATTTGTGCTGTAGCCAAATCACTTGCTCACAACTTTAATGCCAGTAGCTCACAAAGTAGAATTTTTGCTCACAGGACTCCACAGCTTAGAGGGAGCATTGGAGCGGAGCTCCGGCAGTAACGAGCCCAGGGGGCGGGCACATGCAACAAGCCCTGCCCCCAGCAGCCCCAGGCCACGAGGAGCAAGAAGCAGCCAGGTAAGTTGCAGAGTCCCCCCATAGATAGCAATCCAAAACAGATAGATAGCAATCCAAAACAATCTCCCTTCTCTGTTTGGTGTAGTGGTTAAGTGCGCAGACTCTAATCTGGGAGAACTGGGTTTGATTCCCCACTCCTCCACTTGCACCTGGCTGGATGACCTTGGGCAAGCCGTAGTTCTGATAAGAGCTGTTCTTGTAAAAGAGCAGTTTCTGTCAAGAGCTCTCTCAGCCCCATCTACTACCTCACAGGGTGTCTGTTGTGGGGAGGGGAAGGGAAAGGAGTTTGTAAGCCACTCTGAGACGCCTTTGGGTAGTGAAGGGCAGGGTATAAATCCAATCTCTTCTTCTTCTTCTGTGAGGGCAGATCTGTGTGGGAACCCCTCCCTCCATAGCTAGCAGTCCAAAACAGTCCAGTAGAGCCTGAGGAGTGGGTGTTGCCTTCTGACACACGTCCGGTGATGTCAGGGTGTGTGGCATATGCAAATAAGTTATGCTAATGAGCTCCTGCACCTCTTTTTCTACGAAAAGACCCCCGTTTATACATTAGAACTCCCCAAACGCTGCAGAGCCTTCACTCCTGTCTGTTTTAATATCCTCCCACCTGCCCTTCTTAAAGGGAGCTATATGCACATCTCCCGTATGTACGATGTCTCTTCCCATGTCAGTCTGGAATGGCAGAAACAATCGAACGTGTCCTCTTCCATTGCTGATCTTAGCAGGACATTTGGAACATGTGCATTACCCCTATTCTGTCCAAACGTCCAGGTAGATCAAATGATTTTCATACTTCTTCTTCTTGCTGACCGTTTTAGTGAAACTACCCTTAAAGTAGCAAGATTCTGCACTCTGGCACAAAGCAGGAGGACATGGTCTAGTACAGTGGTGGGCAAACTCATTAGTCAAGAGAGCCAAATATCAACAGTACAACGATTGAAATTTATTTTGAGAGCCAAATTTTTTAAACTTAAACTATATAGGTAGGTACATTGTTATTAACTTAATTAGGGTACTCCTAAACAGGTCTTTGCTAAAAATGTCCTCAATCTGATTGAGGTACGTTCGCTGAGGTCGACCCTTTCCAACTCTCCCATTCACACTCGTCTTGTATACTTGTTTCGTCTCCTTTCATTCATCCTCTCTATATGTCCAAAGTATCCATAAAATTAAATCATGACAATGACTGACAAACACTAATGTGAACAATGGCCTTGCATCTCCTTGGAAAGTTTGGGTAAGTCAGGTTTGTATGTTGTTGTTTTTAATTTTAGGCACGCACTAGAGAGCATCAATATGTATGGCCTC